AGCAGGGGATGGTGAGGGCAGCCACCACCGGGGCGTGACGGCATCTGCCTGACAGCTCCCGGGCAGCCAGGGCTGGGGGAGAAGGAGAAAGAGCCACTAACGGGCAGAGTTCTATTCCATGGAGCTCTGGGCAGCACTTCCGACGACGTTTTCCTTCCCCCCTCCCTGCAAAGCAGCCCTGGAGTTTTCTACTCCAGACCTTCTGTGCTGAAGGGGTGTCGTCTCCTGGGAGAGCACCAGCTCCGGGGTCCAGGCTCCAGGGACGGGGCTGCCACCCTCCTTCAGGAGAAACCTTCGAGATGCTCAGGTTTCCTAAAGCATCTTTGCATCCCTGCTCGGTTTTTTTTGGGGGGGGAGAGGGGTTCTAACTTCAGCTGACAAAGCTTCCCCCTTCGCTCGGCTCTGCCCTCCGGAGAGGGGGCTTCACTTGGCACCTTCTCTCTGCTCTGGGAGCATTTTGGGAGGGGACACGCAGACACCCTGCCCTGCTTTTTTTGACCTCCCTTTCTGCATCCCCTTCCCGAGCTCGCTCCGGGCAGTTCCCAGGAGCACACCGACCCCAAGGCAACCACTGAGAGTCCAATTCCTTCCTCGAGGGGGAGAGAAAGTCAATCCAGGGGCTGATGCAGAGCAGAACCCTGAACCAGGAGCTGGCTGCTGACAGGTATTTTTAATGCTCCAGCTGCCTGGCAGGTGGGCCTGCAATTTAATTTTGAGCTGCTTTATGAGAACAAAACCATCTGTAATACACGGGCCAGAAAACTGTCCATGGATGGAGGGAGTTCTAAAGAGGTTTCTCCTCCTATTACAGGTTTTGAGACCAGTAGGTAAGGGATTATTGGTGGAGTTTAAAGCATAGCTTGGTGTTTATAGTGGTCCTAAGTAATTCTTTGCCTTGACTAGGCAGGGACACATCTCAGTCAGACAGCCCGAGCACCTCCATGGCCAGAGACAGCAAGGGAGAGAAAACATCTTTTATTGCATGCCATGGGATAACTGGGATATTCAGCCAAGCTTTCAGGCACACAGACCTCTCCACAGACCACCCCTGGGCAGCCAGAACTTGGGTTCTCAGTCCTGCAGGCTCTGGCAACAGAGGACAACTCCACTCTTCCAAAACCTAGCCCAAAATCACCACTGGCCTCCCTGTCTTGGCTCAGCGAGCTGGGGAGGAAGAGCACGACACCCAATCCCGGCAAATTCGGGATCGTTGCAGCCCTGCGGCCACACGACTGGCCAGACAGCTCCCTCCTGCCTCATCCTGCAAGCCCCTTGCATCACCAGCTTCCTAGAGCAGGAGAAAGCAGAGCTGGGAAAGGCTGTCCCTGGGCTGGCAAACAACTAAACGCCCATCAATCAAGGTATTAAATGGCCGGGAATGCGGCTGCCTCTGCAATCCTGAGCGTTTAGTCCATTATCCCGCGGACACTTAGCACAATTAGGGTTGCTTTGTGGCGAGCCTTTAATGTGCCAACAGAGCAGCTGAGCCACAGGGGAGATTTAGGGATCAGCAAATCTCCACCTCGGGGCAAAGCCCGGCACTCCGGAGGTCCCACCTCGCTGCAGAGGCTGGGAAATGCTGGGCAGGGCTGGGGAGCAGGGGGTGAACAGCACAGAGCTTGGAGGATGCTCAGATCCTTGTTTTCTCGTGCTGGTCTCCATGATAATTGCACCACCCCAAACACCCTGTGGAGCAGTCACCAAATGTCACCCCAAAGCATTAATGTTCCTGCCAGAGTTTTCAGTGGATTTGGCGAGATTCCAGCCCTCTGAAATAACCGAATTTTGCTCCATCCTGAAGACAGGCAGAGGTGTCAGAGTTAGAATTATCCAGAGCCATCTCCAGCCTGACATTCCAGCTGTGTACAGCTGGAGCCTGTGAGGAAAAGTGCTCCAGAAGTGCCACCAAACACAGGGAAAGTGGTACAGAAGAGCTCTGGAAACAGCAAAGAAGCCTCAAAGAAACTTGTCTCTGGGAAAGGCAGTGCTTGGAATTGGCTCTGGAGCTCTTCTTATCCCTACAACACAAGCAGAAGGTGGATTTCTCCTGGGATTAGCCTACAGTTAACAGGTCAGCTCTTCCAAAGACAAAACACCCAAGGAATAAAACCACATCCTCTCTCTCTGTCACCATTCCAAGGCTGAAAGCAGCCCTGAAAAACAAGGAAGAGCTGAGCTGGCGTCCAACAATCGAGGGCAACAAGTGGTTTCACAACCAGAACAGGACTTTCCTTTGTTCACCGCCAGCACTTCCCTCCAAACCTGAGCTTGAAAACACACACCAGCTTCCTACTCAGCACTCAGACACTCCTCCTCTGCCCAACAGGCAGACGGTGGAGATGCCAGAGATAACAGCTGCAGTGATACAGCAAAAAGGGAGGAAAGGAGAAAGGAGGTTGGGCTGCGTGGGGCTCTGAATTCCCTCTCCTGGAGCTCTGAATTCCCATTTGCATCCCACCATGTTTGGAGGCAGAACCCTTCTGCCATCACAGCCTTGGGCTCAGCACTGGCAGCAAACATGGGGCCACAGCCCCTGTCTCCCAGAATCCAGCAGCTTTTGAGGCATCTGGACACCAGCCAGAACACCAAACTGGAGCTTTAAGGTTTGGAGGAGTCTGTTCAAATCCCAGAGGTGCTTTGCATCTTTCTTCTTCTTCCTGAGGGCAAGAGGGACACCAAAACCAGCCAGTTCCAAACCCTGCCAAAGCACACCTTCCCCACTGAACTGCACTTCTGGAAGTGCACACCAGTTCCTCTGAGCTGAGAGGACAACACTGAGAGTCCCCACAGCTACAGCAGCACAAATCCTGACCCTCCCTGTGCCCAGCTCTCCCTGGAACAGGGCTGGAATGGTCCAAGTTGTGGGTTGGTTCAACACAGGGCATTGCCACTACAGCACATCCCTGCCTTGCCCAGGTTGGAATAAGCCCTGACCAGAGACATTCCAGGAAGTGGGAGCTGCATCCACACATCAGGTTATGACCAAAGGGCAAGGAGATGCTTGAACACACACGCAGCTGCTCCTGTTACACTGCCAAGACAACCCCCAGGACAAACCCTGAGACCTTCCAGGGGGCAAACCACGAGGATGGGCACGTTCTGCAGCAGCAGCAGTGCCAGGGCACTGCCAGAGAAACGTTCTGGGAGCAAGAAAAGCAGGTAGGGCCAGCAGCCAGCACCTGACTGCAGCATTTGGCTCCTACTTTTCCTGTTGGATCTGTAGGATAACACTTGGGCATCCAGACCTGAGCTACAGGAAAACAAACGTGCTCCCACTCAGCCAGGAGGGCAACCAACTTATTTTTAGTTTGATGCCAAGGGCAGGAAAAACCCCTGAGCACAGAGGAAAACCAAAAGCAGCCCCCAGGGCAGCAGGAGGAGTCCAGGGGCTTTCACCCTCAACCAGGACCTTCCTCATTCAGCAGGTTCCCCTCCCAGCAGCGCCACAACAGAAATAACTAAGGAAGGCAGGAGCATCTCGGCTTCCCCAGCCCCATCCCACTTGGCACTGGGGCCAGCAGGAGAGGAGATTCCTGCAGTGTCGTCCTCCCTGCCCTGCCACACCACCTTTGCCCCAGCCCCTGGCATCATGTGCGTCCTTGCCGAGGCCAGAAACCCTCGGCTCTCGGGATTATATAACCCGGGGAGCTAATTAAAAACCAGGGGCTCTATTTCAGACCCCGGGCAGGGTGACAGGACAAAAATACAGCCTCATGTCCCCTTTGAAGAGCGGCCAAGGCTGTTTTTTTTTTTTTACCTCGACACATCACGAAGAACTGGAGGGAGGCAAAAAAAAAATCCCGGGGTTATATTTAGGATTTAATCAGCGGCAGAGCTCGCTGGGTTTTCTTCGATGGGAGTTATTTCAGGAGGGTGGGAGGAAGAGGGGGAGCAAACAAACAAACAAACTACCCCCCCCCAAAAAAAAAAAACCCACAACCCAAGGGCAAACATAGCCCTGGCAACTCCCTCACAATGGGATGCTGCTCCGGGGCGTGAAGGGGACTTTTTGTTTTTTTGGTGCTGTTTTGAAATTAAATCTCTGTCACCTCCCCACCCTCTTGAAATCCCCGAGGCCAAAGGACACATCCCGAGGGATGGGCTCCCCTCTGCCTGTTCTCCCAGCTCCCAAGGCTTGTTCCAGGTGTCTGTAGCTGAAGGAGCTTCCCAATCCCCGTGGTTCTCCCAGAGGGAGCATCCAGCAGGGATGATGTTGCTGTTGCTCACTCTGCTGCCACTCTGAGCAGGTTTCTCTCACGGAAAACACTCCATTTTTATAAACACCTAAAAGTTCCTCAGAGCAGAGGGGAAGCTGCACCTTCCACCTCCTGCCCGTGCCCTGCTCTTATTTTTAAGGCAGGTTTTTTTTTTTACCCTTGTTTTGCCAACTCAACCAAGGCCTTTTTACACCCTCTTGGCACTTGTCCCTCGGGGGACAGTGTGTCCTGCTGCCTCCCCACAGCTGCTTCTCCCCCAGCCCCAGGCCAGGGGCAGATTTCTTGTTTGACATGTGCTGCTCACGAGCTGTTCTGGTGAGGGCCACTGCAAACCTGAAAGGGATTTAATGAAAAAAAAAAAAAAAATCTCTTTTGTAGCGCCCAGAGGAGATTAACAGACAGCAAGAGAGAGTCGTGGCACCATCCAGATAAACACACTGACAGTGGGAATGTGTATTTTCCTACCTAAAACAGGTAGCATGCTATATTGCTCCTGAAGTTAACTTGAACAGGCCAGCACACTT